AGGTATGGTGTAAACAGTTGCAAACGGATCTCTAAGTCTTTGTGTGCATAGACTTGAGAATTTTTATATACCGTGAGGATGGTCATGTATTTTTAGAATCCTGAGAGTTCCTAGTGCAAACGTTAGTGTAAGGATATACGGAACAAGCGCTCATGGAATAAAGGGCAAAGTAGATAATGCCCAACCATTCTTGAAAACACCTTCTAATACGCTTTGCAGCTTAGAATCAGCCGCCTGCTCGTCGATGTCCAACACATATCACACAAATTCCTTTTTAATTCAGTGTCATGAGACGACTTGTTAAAACACATCCAACTGCGTCGTAGTTAATGGAATGTCGACATTTTGGATACAGACCACATTAAGCTTATGAGCAAGTTTCATTAAGTTTAAGCCGTCTGACCAGCCTATGCATAAAATTGTTCTTAACTCTTGGTTGGCATACCCAAAAGAGTGGATTTCACCAGTGGAATTAATCAAATCCCTCGATTATTCTGCACCCAAACAGAACAGCATTAAATACTTTGCTGATTCAAGACTTACGAGCAGCTACATCTTAAAGCAACACTGTCATGTTTATAGACGCAATTCGAAAAGCGAAAACAGTGAACTGTTGCTGGTATGTATGCAATGCATCCCCAACATATTACTTAATTAGGAACTGGTTCACGAAAACAGCAGCCAAGCCTACTCAAAGAAAGCCGGCTTTATCCTCAAGAGGTTCAACGAAATTCGTCGGCCACTGCCACAATCATTGTGGGGGGTGTTTTTGTGATGCGTGACAAAAATAAATAATTCCGAGGGTTTTTAATATTCTACGTAAGGCTCAACCATTCGTGAACAGCGATAGGATTCCGCTGACAAGTGCATATTCGCCATCTTTGAATAGATCTTTTGATCAAAACGAGGAGCTTCCTTGAAACTTCAATGATTGGATTGCGCTTCAGATCCCTACATCGGTAGGAGTGACTGTGGGGACAAGCCAAGCACCATCCGAGGGAAACGAGGTGTCACAAGGGACTGGAGAGCAGAATTGCTGGCCAGGGATACTCCGACGCGTTCCGAATTTACGACATCTGTGCAGACGCAGCCAATGCGTACAAAATGCGTACTGCTCTACGAGATGTCCAGCAAAACAGTTTTACGACCAGGTATTTTGTTTCTTAAATCGGATATTACTCGGAAAAAATTGTAAACGAGTTCATCACTAGTATATCACGGGCTGCGTCATACTTCATTTTTACAGAATTGGATCCAGCAAAATTCAAACGAGCGATGCTAATTCAAGAGCTGAGAGCTAGCATATCGAACAAGTAGTTAGAAAAACTCCCTGGATGACGGTGCATTTAGTTACGAGACGGCTTGTTCAAATACTCATTAAATAAAAAAGCTGACATAAAGCTGTTAGCATTCACTCTGCAAACTCCAACCATGACCCCACAACTTGGTTAGAAACATGACATGTATGATCAAGACGTCTGTGATGGCAGAACCGTTTGCATCCTACCGATATGATAATTTAGGCAAATGTGCATTTGAGTGTAAACGATAGCAAATACTGTGAAAGATGGCTTATTTAACGCGAAAATGCAGGTCAATCAAGCTTCATCCGGAAATGCAAAACCACGAGCAAAAAGTAACCAAATCTGTTGAGAACCTTTATATCGAGAATGGTTGAATTCCGTGTTTAATCTACTTTCAATGTCATACGCTGTGGTGATTTACGTACAACCACAGCAGGCACTGTTGGAGACATAAATGGGAGCATCAGTGAAAATGCTAAGGGCGAACACTGTAAAGCACTTACCACCCTAACGAAGACTCAAATCAAACATTCGGACGTGCACGGGTGAGCCGACTCTGGTACCATGCGATTGCATTGTACATGCATCATATGGCGCTGGGCTACACAAATGCCCTTTGTGTTTGAGATCGTAAGATGGAGCAAATCTACCGGGAATGGAGTAGATTTGTGCATTTGCTAGAATGTTGTAGGCTCTAAAAAGTGGTAAATTTGAACTTCAAGTAATTCTAAAATCAACAGTCGGTTGGAATATCTGAAAGATTTTCAGTATACCGTAAGATCAAAGACTATCGCTTCATCCGAATTCCTCCAACGTGTAGTATTTAATCACTTAAAAGGTCAGGGCATTATGCTGTGCAATTTCATCTGTGGAACGCAAACCATACAGTTAGCGAAACCCGATAACCCCGTGCAATTTTGCAACGAACAAATGATGACGGTCCATCAATATTTTATTATAGCAATTATGCGCTCCCTTGCGTTAAAGACTTTTACGTCACACTTGCAGGTATTGAAAATGTAACGAAGCGAATTCAGTTACGTATACTCCTGAACAGTGTTTCGTGAGAATATATTGAACTTAGAACATCCAATATATGCACAAAAGTTTACCAATACTCATGTTTACATTTTGGAATATACTTCGTCTACGGAACCGTTTCAGTGGATTAATGGTGATTTGTCAAATAGTATACCTGTCAGTTGAGGGTATTTGGATCATATTCTCATATCTGGACCCTCCAAGGCAGAACCTCTCCGAAGGCGCTAGGGTGTGTTTGAACGATTAGCTTGAAGCGGGCGTAAATGGGGAAAGCCTAATGTTGAACTCCTTTCTTCATATATGTGATGTATTAAATAGAGGCTTGATAAATTCGTTTTACTTTTTCATGTGACAAGCTAAAACCGATTTTAGATGGACCCGAAACATTTGTATTAGGAAAACATTTTCTTTATCCCCGTTTCTTACCTGTTGCAACCATCATGTTATCTTTAATGAATGATTTAATCCATAAAATCGTACCTCGGTGTTGGGATCCCGGGCAAACTGACGCCTCAACCAAAGCTAAATAGACCACCGTGTCCTCCCCAAATTTATCTCCTTATGTTCCTACGAAGCAGCTCGTTTTCCAACTTGACAATTCCCTTGGGGTGTTGATGCTGTTCTTTGCCACGGCATAAATGAACAAATATTGCAACCCATATCGATTACATCACGCAATCTGAAACCAGCGGAAATTAACTATGTACAGCTAGACACTGAATCCTTAGACATACTATTCCCTGTGAATGACTCCATCAGGACCATTTAGTGAATTGTTTCAACTTCACAGAGACCACAAGCAATTGTTGTCAATGTTAGGAAAGAGCAACGTTATACAGCAATTGCTTTCACGAAGAAAACAGAGATGAGCACTAAATTTGAACACATAAATCCACAAAATTGACTACATTCTTGGCTGCAGCAACTGCGTAGCTTATACCCAGGAACCTCTATCACATAAGAGAAATTTTTCACATGTATTGGTTCACTCGATGCAGTATCTAGCTAAGGCGCATCTAGCAAGCTTCAAAATCAGTCAGTGGACAGTCCTAATGCAAGTTCCTTCAACAAGTAAACAGTTCTGTACAGACGGTTAGTACGTTCACGAAGCCGTTGACAGAGCCATTTACCGTACACAGAAATGAGCTGAGCTGAGAGCTGGTTGCTTTATCTTAGAGTTAAAGATTGGTCCCTCCTAGCAAAATCGTGCACAGATAATACTGTGCAACATCATTTTTATAACGGGAATGGAGTGGGATGTAGATAGTAGTACCAATTGAGCTGAAAGTCGATTGAAATCTGTGTTTCCTTAGTTGTTATATTGATCAGGACTGAAAGACGCTGACGTTTCAATGAACGAAACGCTTGTTATTACGTCCATGGAAATTTAACTTCAAAGTCACAGTGTAGACCCATTACTTCACTACTGAAGTCTGCTTACCCGGCATATTTCCTAAAGAAATTGGAGATCCGGATAAGAACTGGGCCGCCGTATCTTGTTTGTGTGTCGTTCAATCTTCGTCTAACTCAGTATCACAAGGGCATAGTTAAGATGACATTTCAATCCCTATGGTTGAAAGGAGCCGAAGGATCACTTGACAGACTGCTACTGCTAACCAAGTCATTGGAATCTGTAACGGAAAAATGAAAAATTTCCTAACCCAGATCTTCCATCATCTATTCGACCA